CGGAGACAATGCAGCTTCTCACATGAACTTGCTTACTCTACAGTGCTACTAAATCATGGTTACCAAAGGCTTGTGTGTTTTCAATCATCAAAGTACTTAAAATATTATAATAATGCTTGGCACTTTTCAACTTCAAAGCCTGCTGCAAGCAGTAATTAGGTCTAATAACCCTGCTGTGACAGTGAGACATTCCTATCTCCTGTCTTACAGGGCCAGGGGGGGTCAGCCCCTGATCCGGTTGCATCCATCCTGTGTGAGACAGGAGATCTCCCAGTGCCGGCTGTGATTGATAAACTGACCTCCCCACAGGCACATGCTCAGGGCCAGCAGCAGGGAAGGCTCAGAGCTTTCTAGCCTTGAGGAGAGGGGGCAGGACACTTCCAGTACTTTTTTGGGCCGTGTCCCCAGGACTGTAAAACCTAGGCTCATTCACATTTTGTTCCATAGAGTCCTGGAGCAGCATTTGAAACAGCATTGGAGAAAAGTTTTTACTCTGTCTTGGCTTCCTGGCTGGTGTGCTTTCACCACCCAGCAAAGCGTGGTGGAGACTGGGGACAATACTTGTGGACAGCCTGTGTCAACTGGGGGTCATTTTTCCTTTTGCAAGCTGTCTTTGAGTTGTTCCTTTGATAAAGGAGCAGCTCTCTATTCCTTCTTTTTAGTTTATGACATGTAGGAGATAAAAATTGTGCAGGAAGTAATTGATACATTTAAATAATAGAGACTTATAAACTGGTTAAATGTCCAAACCACTGTTAAACACTTAGAGAGAATTCTGCTTTAATTTTTATTTAAGAGTTTCACAAACCTGCATTCTTTTGGCCGTTTGTCACGTTGGTTGCAGTCACCAGTTGTGATCAGTCCTTGGGATAGAGTAATTTCTAGCTTTCATTTAATTATCTGCTAGATTATCTGTGAATGTTTACTGGAGTGTTTGTGAGGTCTCTGCCTCCCACCCGAGGTGTGGAATCCCTTAGCCTGGTGCAAGTGGGGCTGCCAGGAAATGGAATTGCTGCTTTGTCACTGGCAGTGCAAAACCTTTGTGTTCTCTGGGAAAACAAGGCTGAGAGCACTCAGGGGAGAAGGGGCTTCCCCCCAGGAGCTGCTGCTGTGTCAGGAGCCTGCCCACAGCCCCTGTGCATTCCCTGCTCGGCTGCTGCTGCAAACTGGTCTGACAGGGCAGCCTGGGTGGGAATGCAGCAGGAGGAGCCAAGGGCAGGGTTTGTGAAGCCCCACCCCGTGAACTCTGCCTGGGCTGCTCATTGTCATCCTAATGAGCCAGCAGCAAGTTGCATCAAGTTCTGTCAGAAGCTCTTGACTTTTTTTGTTTCAATATTATGAAAGCAAATAGTAACAGGCTTGGCTAGACAGGCATTCAAAGGGAAGCCAAGCAGCAGGGCCTGTGTGCCAGTGGCAGGGTGATGTCACCTGCCCTGGCTGGCCAGGTGCTTGGCTCAGCTGGCCCAAGGAACATCAGGGGGGTTTAACTTGGAATTCCTGCCTCATTGACAGGAACAGATTACAGCTACACAGAGCAGGCTGGTGCTGTGCAGGTCCCCAGTTGCTCCAGGACCTTGAGAGGTGAAGCCCCCTTGTCCAGCACCTGGAGCTCGGGGCAGGCATCCCAACATCCCAATGTCTCAACATCCCAACATTCCAACCTCCCAACATTCCAACATCCCAACCTCCCAACATTCCAACATCCCAATGGCCCAATGTCCCAACATCTCAACATCCCAATGTCCCAGCATCCCAGCATCTCAACATCCCAACCTCCAAACATGCCAACATTCCAACATCCCAACCTCCCAACACCCCAACCTCCCAACATCAAGGGCTTGCACCCACCCTGTTGCCCTGGGGCTGGGGGCACTATCCCTGCCTCTCCTGGGGATTCCTGTCCCCCTGGCTGCAGATTGCTCATGATGCCCCGGCACTCTGAGGGTGCTGTCTGACCATGTTCAGTGCTGTCATTCAGTCAACCCTTCCAGAGGGCAGGGGAATGTACACTTTTGCCTTTATTTCTGAAGTGCAGAATGTAGGAGCCAATATAGGCATCCATGGTTGTTTGAGTGATAACTTGCTGTTTCTTGTTTATGAGATAATTGTTGTACAGTCCCTGCATTAAATTCTTGTAAGGTAAAAGGCCTGTCAATCTTATTAATCATTGCTGGTAATAGTCATTATCATGTGAGCAAGCTGCTTGCCTGCTTTATGAGTTTAGGCAAGTCAGTTCCCTAATAGGTGTCTTGTTTTTTCAGCTGAAAAATGGGGGAAATGGGGTATTTTCCCCTCAGCTTTGAAAGGTGTTGTGCTGGGAGTGCAGAGGTGGCAGGTGCTGGGCAGGGATCCCAGCAGTGCAGGGCTGATGGGGACACTCACAGTGGGGCCAGGAACAGCAGGTGACACCTGATGTGTCTGAGACCCTCCAGAGCACTGGCTTTGCCTTCTTGGTTTGGATCAGAGCCTTCCCACTCCATCCCAGTCCAGGAAAGTGCTGACCCCACTGGCTCCGTGCTGTGCCAGGGAAAGGACAGGAGCAGAATTTGTGCCATTCCCACCAACCTCAGCACTGGCAGACTGGGCTAGAGTGGGATGTTGGGGTCCTCCTGCCCCTTCTGCAGTGCTCAGGAGATGCTGGTGCCTCTCTGCACTGGCACCTTGCTCTCCTGCAGAGATCCTCCAGCAGCAGTGCTGGGATTTGTCCCAGATCAGCCCTGCAGCTTTCTCAGCACGGTGGGTGTGTGCTGGGGTGAGGGCAGTGCTCCTTCCCCTGCAGCAAACACCCAGCTCCAGGTGAGCACAGGGGGAGAGCTGCTCCAGCACATCCATGGCACCCTCTTCTGGGTGGACACTTCATATCCACCAGCTAAACAAAAGTTGTATGGAAGCCTGGATCTGACAGACACAACAAGTCCTTTACAAAGCCACTCTAGCCTCTTTCCCTTTTTCCTTTAATTCCATGTACTTTACCTTTCCCTAGAGAGGTTTAAAACCAGCTTTGACAAGCAGGAGGGAAGATCTAGATGTAGTTGCCCCTGCATCAGTTGAGAGAGGCCCAAGGTCCCCTGACTGCTATCCCAGCCCTGTGCCCTGCTCAGGGATGGCCCAGTTTTACCTGAGACTCTCAGAGGGGATGAGCACATTGCCCAGGTCACCAGGGCCCTGGTCCCCACCAGAGCCACCAGGCAGCTGGAAAGACAAACAAGAGCAGACTCCACTAGCAGCAGTATGGAGACAGCGGCCCGTGAGATCCAGAGCCCAAGAATGTGCACACAAAAGAAGCATTTCCCTCAGCCACGACAGTGAAACCACCAGACAGCCACATGCAGCATGTGATTTCCCAAAAGCACCAGCCCAGATCCCAGCTCCTTTGTGCCACACGCTGTTTCCCAGGATCACATCTCAGTGGCAACATGTAAAAGCCTCTTTCAAACACTGAAAATTCATCATATTTTCCTCAAAGTTGTTTATGGAAACCGTGGGGAGCACTCCTGCCCCTGTGAGCTGGCTCAGCGTGCCGGCCCTGGGTGTCAGACCCTCCTGGAGATGGTGCTGTTCAAACCCTCCAGGAGATGGTGCTGTTCAAACCCTACAGGACACGGTGCTGTTCAAACCCTCCAGGAGATGGTGGTGTTCAAACCCTCCATGGAGATGGGTGCTGTTCAAACCCTTCAGGAGATGGAGATTGGTGGTGTTCAAACCCTCCAGGAGATGGAGATGGGTGCTGTTCAAACCCTCCAGGAGATGGGTGCTGTTCAAACCCTCCAGGAGATGGTGGTGCTTAAACCCTCCAGGAGATGGGTGCTGTTCAAACCCTCCAGGAGATGGGTGCTGTTCAAACCCTCCAGGATACGGTGGTGTTCAAACCCTCCAGGAGATGGAGATGGGTGCTGTTCAAACCCTCCATGGAGATGGTGGTGTTCAAACCCTCCAGGACATGGTGGTGTTCAAACCCTCCAGGAGATGGGTGGTGTTCCTGGGGAGCTGCAGGACACATCCAGGCTCATTCCATGGAGAGCTCTGGCAGTGACCTGGATCAAGAATTCCTCTTGCCCTCAGCCCTGCCCAGTGTGGCTGCTGGCACAGCTGCTGTCCCTGGGGCTGCCAGGGCTGCTCAGAGCTCCCACAGCCAGGAGCTTTGGCCACTGGGACCCTGGAGAGTGGGAATGAGGTGAGCTGGGATGAGTGTGCCTTCCCTTCTCGCTCTCTGGCTTTACACTGGTGGAGCAGCACTGCTTTCAACAGAGCAGCTCTGACCTGCTGAATCTACAAACTGATTGTGCTTGGTGGTTCTTGAATTGAATTCTTGAATTCCTACTTTGAATCCTTACTGTGGGGACTCTCTGGAGTCTGCTGTGCATTTCTTCACTGTAAAGGGAGCCACCAGTTAATGACTGTCACAGGCTTTGAGTTCCACATGGGCTAACAAAATGGCAAATGAGAAAACTTGAATACGAAATCTCTAGTTTTCTGTGTGATTTTACTGCCCTTCCCTCCATCATGTGTGCCTTGTGCTGCTTTAGTGTTGCAGACACCTGCTGTGGTGTTGATTATTGATATTTTTGAGGGTGGCAGGAACACCCATATGCAGAATCCTTTATTTAGTCCTTTGGAGATAAACGCTGCTGCTGTGCATTGCAGTGGATGTGAGCCTGCTGGGATTTTACCTGCCAAGAAAATTGTCTCAATTTGCAAAGAGACAAAAATCAAGCCTGGATTGCAAGGTTTTCAGGGATTGTTATCAGCTGGGTTCCATAACCTGCACTCCAAGGTAACATTTAGTGGGTACCTAAGGCAAGGTTTGGTACCTGATTTGGTCAGGCCAGATAGAACCAAGAGCCTGATCCTCAGCCCTGGCTCTGCATGGGCCCTCCAGGGAAGAGAGGGGCAGGAACCGACCCCACAGACAGGGACAGGGGCTGTGCTTTTCACTTTGCACCCTGAACACCTGGGTTTGGGATGAAAACCAAAATTCTGATGGTCCTGTGCTTTAACAGGGAGAAGACTACGAGGAAAAGCATTCTACAATGTCAATGGCAAGGTGTACTGTGAAGAAGACTTCCTAGTAAGTAAGAGTTCAGGCATTTTTTTTTTATTTCTTCTAAAGCAAATTGTTCTTTTATGTTTGCTTTGAGAGACAGGTGATGATGTGGGGCCTCCTGGCAGTGGTGCAGTGGGGAAGCATCTGCCACTGCCTCCTTGCTGCCCATGGAGGGGCAGCTCAGGCTCTCTCCCTGCTCACAGAGCTTCTGTAAATGCTTTACTTTAATAGAGACTCAGGCAGGAAAGGGAAAATGAAGCCTGTTGCTGAGCTGTGTTGTTCCAAAAATAAAATATTCATGCAATTAAGGGTGAGAATTGTGCAGTGCACCACAAATGATTTGATAAGTGCAGAGCATTTAGAATTAAGATGAAGAGGATGGCATGGCTGGGAATTGCAATTAGAGAGCAATGATATGTTTTAGCTTAGAAGAAGATGAATTGGACAATCAGTATGTTGAATGTATGCCACCTTATTTATTGAAATACCATTAATTTGGAAGCTTGGGTCTTCCAGAACGACTTTCCATTTCTAATGAATATATAATCATGCTGTTTGCAAAGGAATTATTCAAAGTATATCCCACAATAAAATTGTTACTGGCAGTTCAAAGTGCACAAATGCATTTCTCATCAATGCAATGTATAAAAATCATGGAAATTCCTAAAATATAAATTATATTTGCTTTCATGTGTTACACCTTTACTGTGAGCTGGAGCCTGTTGGAAAAGAAATTTTTCTGTTGTGCAGAAAATAAGTATCTTGTTATAATTGAAACTTGTTTTGCTTGCATTCTGGAGAGGAAATTCTTTTTTCTTCCTTGCTTTTCTCAGTTCTTTCATTACTGTGTTTCTGCAGAAGCACAGGGAGGGGGAGAGGAGATGGAGTGTGAGAGGGAGGGGCTCAAACCTTTGAGATTTTTCATTTGAACTGTGTTGGAATGTACTTTCCCCGTGATCAAAACCTTTCATCCAGACTTAATGACATGATTGTTGTTATTAGCTTGTAATTTCAGCCTAAACACAAGAATTTGAAATCTAAAAATCTTAATCTTTTGGAGAACATTCAGTTTTCATGGGGTGGGGGGAAAACTCTTTAGTTCAGGCATGTTCTTCAGTGGGCTTCTGAAGGAAGATACTTGCAGAGATTTTCCCAGGAAAACTGAGATTAAAGACCTGAGAGGAACAAACTTTCTGCAAATTAGGGAAATGTTGGGACATTGAAGGCACAGATTTAAAAGCCCAGGTGTGTTTTAGCAGATCCCAGTAGCAGAGGGATGGGGGAGAAGCGAATGAAGGGACACTGTGTAAGTCAGCAAAGAAACGAAACCGATGTGATCCCTGCTTGTGGTAATACTGCTGCTGCTGAGAAAGTAGCTGCATCTTCTCTCAGCTCCCCTGAGCAAATGTCATAGCAAGAATCCCAGGAAGTATATGGTATCACTAATGAAATCAAACAACCTTGCCTATTTTAGAGTTCTGTGAACAGGGAAAGCACAAAGTATTTGTCAAAATTGAAAGGAAACAGGCTGCAAAATAGCCATTGAAGAGGAAATTATTTTAACTTCTTCATCTTCCCAGGTCTTCCTCTTGAACACTGGGAAACCCAGTCCTGTCTAAGAAGAGGCATTTTCAGTCCAAAGCAGAAAATGAAATGCTTTTTCTGTATAAGTGAGAATTTCAGTCTCCAGCATGACTCAGTTCTTTAGTGCAGCTCCCTTACAATGCAGCAGGATTCCCTGCTGCCCCCAGGGCAGTGGAATGTTGGGGAAGTTAGGGCAGGGGGATAAGGAAAAGATTATTCCAGTTTGGGAATGTAAACAGATCCAGTCTAACTGCATTAGAATTGTATTGCTGCTAAGAAAATGCAGCCTGGCATGGTGTCCTTCCTCTTTCTTGGCTTTTGTTTGGCTGGGCATTGATCAGGAGAGTCAGAGGCTCCTGTGGGCCTGGGAGTGGGGTCACAGCTCTGTCACCTGCAGCCCCACCGCCTGGGACAGCTTATTTCAAACATGGCCAGGGCTGGAGAGCAGAGCAGCCTCAGCAGCCGTGGGCAGGAGGGGCAGGAGGGGCAGGAGGCTCAGTGCTGTCCTTTGGGGCACTGTGACAGCCAGGGGAGCACAGGAGGGGCAGTGCTGTCCCCTGAGGGCACTGTGACAGCCAGGGGAGCACAGGAGGGGCAGTGCTGTCCCTCAGGGCACTGTGACAGCCAGGGGAGCACAGGGGGTGCAGTGCTGTCCTTTAGGGCACTGTGACAGCCAGGGGAGCACAGGAGGGGCAGTGCTGTCCTTTAGGGCACTGTGACAGCCAGCACAGAGCTGGTGGCACCTGGAGCCTCCCTGGTGCCTGGAGCAGAGGCTGTCCCCTTGCCAGGGCGGGCTGTCACTCCTGCACAGCTCTGTCACTCACTGCTGCCTCTGCTGATCCCTTTCATGGGCTGCAGCTGCTTCTTCCCTGTCACCCCTGCAGGCACACTGGGAGTGTCCACAGTGATTTTGGGGCTGCATGTCAGCAGCACCTGCACAGTGATGGGCAGAAAAGCTGAAATGGCTCTTGAAGGGGACAAATACAGAAAATTTTAGTGAAGGATGGATATTATTTATGGGTTTCTTCCTATTGTAGCTACTAGAAATATTGAACATCCTATAGATGTCAGTATTTTATTTCTCCTGCAGTACCACATTGCTTGCCAGACCAGCTCCATCTGGAGCAGTCTCCAGAGCTGCAGTCAGGGGCTCAGATGGGGTACCTGGTACTTTAACTACCTCTCACTGCTCACAAATCAGCTCTCCCTCTCAATCAGAGGTGGCATGTGGAATTCACTGCAGTGTCACCTGTGGTCCCTGAATCCAAGACCTTGAAAAAACCCATTCTCTGATCCTTTCAGATGTTTGGCTCTTGGAAGAACCCTCCTTGGCTGAAGTGTCCCCCTCACTTCAGGTCCAGCCAGTGCTTGGTCCAGCTGCTCCAGGGGTCTCCTCTCTTCTCTCTTCACTCTTCTCTCTTCTCTCTTCTCTCTTCACTCTTCTCTCTTCTCTCTTCACTCTTCTCCCTTCTCCCTTCTCCCTTCTTCCTTCTCTCTTCCCTCTCCTCTCCTCCAAGGCCCTGTGCAGGTGGCATTTGAGCAGAGCACATTTGTCACCTTAAGCACAGTGAGCCCCTGAGAGCTTTGGCTGCCCAGTGCTTCCAAACCATCAGTGAGGAGCTGCTGGCATCAGCCTTTCCAAATGTGCCCCTCTCTTGGAGAAGGGCTTTTGGTTTGTGGGCACAGCCAGGGGTCAGCTGGTGCTGGTGTTACAGATGGATAATGAGCTGATTGGCTCTGGCAATTAAGGGATAACTATGGTGTGAATATTAAGAGAAGTTTTAGTGATGTACAGTTATGTTATTGTAGTTTAGATGTCCTCTGCTCTCCCCACGGTTCCCTTTCCCCCTGTATTGTTGCCATCAGGCAGCCTGGGCTGTCCAGGACAGGTACAAAGAAGCTGCACAGGTGTCCCTTGCATGGGGCAGTGGGGAATGGAAAAGCTTGGGGGTGCTCAGGGGGTGGGCATGGCAACACCTGAGCTCCAATCCAGTTACAAAGCAGTCTGCACTGATAAATGGCACAGAAGAGCTGCCTGACAGACCTTGGAGGGGCCAGGGCTGGCTGATGCAACCCCAGGGGTATAAAAGACTGAGCATCCATCTTGAAGATGAACTGGCCATGTGGTATCCATGAGGGCAGTTCCCAGCGCTGCAGCATTTACCTTATGTAGCCCTTTGTTGTATTTTTGTCAAGGTTTAATAAACCTTTTCAAATTTTCAAAGTGAGCACTTGTCTCACACTGGTGCTCCTGGGGAGGCTGCCCCATCACAGCCCACACTGCCCCTGCCAGGGCCACCAGGCACATCCTCCCGGCAAAGAGTTTTCCCATGTCTGCCCTCACTGAGGGCACACTCTCCACACCAGCTGGGTTTATTCTGCTCTGTCTTTGCAGGGAAGAAGTGTCAGAAGTTTTTTTTCCCACTTGTGCAGTTGTAGGTGGGCAGGGGATGCCACGGTGGGGCTGGGAATGGATGGCTGGGAATGGATGGTTGGGAATGGATGGTTGGGAATGGATGGCTGGGAATGGATGGAAGGTTGGGAATGGATGGATGGGAATGGATGGAAGGTTGGGAATGGATGGATGGGAATGGATGGCTGGGAATGGATGGAAGGTTGGGAATGGATGGATGGGAATGGATGGAAGGTTGGGAATGGATGGATGGGAATGGATGGTTGGGAATGGATGGAAGGTTGGGAATGGATGGATGGGAATGGATGTCTGGGAATGGATGGATGGGAATGGATGGTTGGGATTGGATGGATGTATGGGAATGGATGGATGGGAATTGATGGAGGGCTGGGAATGGATGGATGGGAATGGATGGTTGGGATTGGATGGTTGGATGGGAATGGATGGATGGGAATTGATGGAGGGCTGGGAATGGATGGCTGGGAATGGATGGATGGGAATGGATGGAGGGTTGGGAATGGATGGATGGAATGGATGGCTGGGAATGGATGGCTGGGAATGGATGGATGGGAATGGATGGAGGGTTGGGAATGGATGGCTGGGAATCCCCTGCACCTGGAGGACCTGGAATACCTCTGCCCCCCAGGGTTATTTTTGTCAGCCTCCTGCTGCCAGCCCTGATTAGCTGCACATTCTGTCAGTGCTTAAAGCCTTATTGGCTAATTGAATGAAGTGAATTAATCAGATTTAAAAAAATAAGTACACGGATAATTCTACAGATAATTCTACTTCTGCCCAAGAGATTGGCTGATCTGTGCCATTTCCAGGAGGACACTGCATGTGTGAGGAGCAAAAAGAGCAAAACCAACCCCCACACTTCACATTGCTTTAGCCCTAAGGAAGGTCCAGTTACTCCTTTAAAAGCCACTTTAAAATAACAAGGCCAGCAATACCCAAGTGTTGCCCCGGCCCTGTTAGGAGCTGTTATTTCATGAAAGGAAATAAAACAAATGACAGTTTAATCCTT